GAAAAAAAAAAAAAAAAAAAAAAAAAAAAAAAAAAAAGAGTACTTTAAACAGGCTAGCACTTTGGAATTTTGGTACCTTTTAAAAATTGTTAGAATTCAGTCGATTCAAATGCCTTATGTATAATAGACTTTCCCCCTTAAATTCTAAACTCTTTGTATTTTCGCAGACATTTAATCCTTATATGTCTAATTCATGGAGACAGTGTCCTGTGGCAATAGCTAAGGCCAAGAAAGTTTAAAATCTAGCCTTTACTCTGCCATTTTTTTGTTGTTAAACATGAAATGTGTTTTTCCAAAATTAAGTGAACTTGAACTTCAAAAGGGCCAAGTTTGGTATAAACCATGAAATTTGATGGAGTTTCTAAACATTGCAAGACACATTCTTCCAACTCTGGTCACAGTTTTGGTATCACATGACTGGTTATTTCCTGCCAGTGGGGACCAACGCCCCTAGCGTGGGCAGGGTCCAGCATCCTGCAATAGTGAGTGCAGTGATGGACATGGTTCAGTTTGGTTTTATAGATTTTTTTTACTTTTTTTTTCTTATAAACATCAAATTTAACTGTGCTTTGTCCACTATAGAAAGGAAGGACAATTCACTGTTTATTCGTGGAAATCTTGACGAAGAAGACAGAAGGTATTTATCTCAGTTAGAGTAACACTGACTGCCATAACAGTGAGGCCCTAAATTTTAGCAGTTTAATGCAGTAACAAATATCAGTGCGGGTATTTCTGTTTAGTAGGTGGAACTAGTCACCTGTCTTCTTTCCTCTTGTGACTCTATCAAACCCTTAGGCTTTGGAGTCCTCTGATCGAGCCAACAGACATAGAAAGGATGGAGAGTGCACCTCTGCTGTTGAATTGCCTTGGTTTGGACACATAATTTCTGCTCACATTTCATTGTCGATTACTGTTCGCATGGCCCTACCTAGGTGCTAGGAAGAGGGGAGGGTAGGAAATGTAATCCTTGGCTGGCAATCACTTCCTCATGACTGTGGAAGGAGGAACATGAATTACGGTGGACACTGAGATGTCTCTATCATGAAGGTCATTGACATGAGTGCAGGATCTCGACATTGTAACATACACCCTCTTCCTCTCAAAATACCTTGGGTACCACCAATCCAGGTCAGGAATTCTAGATAATGTGGTGACATGTGAGAAAATCTTATGATACTAGAAGAATTCACTCATTTTGGTTTGGTCCTTGTCCTAGTTTGAATTTTCCAAGAAGCAGGTCCTGAAACAAAGATTTGAGTGCACGTAGTTTCTCTGTAAGGTGGTCCCAGGAAATACTGGAAGGGATGTTGGGAAGTGAGACCAGGAAGGGAAGGCCGCCAACTAAAGGTTGCATGACGAAGCAGCTTACCACTGTGGGTATCTGGAGCTAAAGTCCACTGGGGAACTCTAAGATCCAGTATGGAACACACACCTCAGAGTTATCCAAATCAAAAGGTGAGGCTGCTCCCAGGGCACATTCATACCCGGAGCACTTACAGCATGTAGACTCCAGTGGCTAGAGAAAGACAAAGGCCAAAGACTTGCATATGCTGTCAGTTAAAAGCCAGTTAACTGGCTGGGGGCTGACCAGTTAGCTCACTCGGTAGATCATGGTGCTTATAACACCAAGGTCAAGGGTTCGGATCCCTGTACCAGCCAGCTGCCAGAAAAAGAAAAAGGCAGGCAGGCATGTACTGACATAGTGACGTCCAAGGGGTATGATCTTGGTTCTCCTGGCATATGTTACAGTCTTATGTGAATGCAGCTGATGATGAATCAGCAAGCTGTTTTTGGTGTTGTTCTTTCTCTGTACAGCGTGCCCGATGAGGAGACCAAGACGGCCACCCCAAACACGCAGGTGGAAGGTGACGATGAGGCTGCGCTCCTGGAGCGCCTGGCTCGGCGAGAGGAAAGACGCCAGAAGCGCCTTCAGGAAGCTCTGGAACGGCAGAAGGAGTTGGACCCCACAGTGACCGAGCCAAGCCTGTCGCTCCCAAGCAGAAGAATGCAGAATGACACGGCAGAAAACGAAACTGCGGAGAAGGAAGACAAAAGCGACAGTCGCCAAGAGAGAGATGAGATAGAGGAAACCGAAATAGTCACCAAGTCCTACCAGAAGAATGACTGGAGGGACGGCGACGAACCAAAGAAAGAAGACAAGGAAACAGAGGAGGAGGAAGAAGAGCAGCCAAAGCCAGGGAGCATTGGAGAAAACCAGGTAGAGGTGACGGTAGGAGAGGAAATCACAGAAACCCAAGAGGAAGCAGTGGTCATGCCGCTGAAAAATGGGGAAATCGGTGCAGAAGAGCCTCAGCTAGAGCAGCAGCGGGAGCGTGGCCCAGAGGAGAGTCCCCAGAATGAACAGATGGAGCAGGAGGAGAGGGAAAGAGCTGAGGCAGAGAGGGCGAGGCTGGAGGCAGAGGAGAGAGACAGAATGAAAGCCGAGCAGGACAGAAAGACAGCAGAAGAGCAAGCGAGAATTGCAGCAGAAGAAAAAGCAGCTGCACAAGAGAGAGAAAGGAGGGATGCGGAGGAGAGGGAGAGGGTCAAGGCAGCAGAGGAGAAGCGAGCTGCAGAGGAGAGGGAGAGGGCCAAGGCAGCAGAGGAGAAGCGAGCTGCAGAGGAGAGGGAGAGGGCCAAGGCAGCAGAGGAGAAGCGAGCTGCAGAGGAGAGGCACAGGGCCGAGGAGGAGAAGGCTAAGCTAGAAGAGCAGAAACGTAAAAAGCAGCTAGAAGAGAAAAGAAACGAAACGCGAGAGACAAAGATGAAAGGGGGAAAGGGAGAAGAGAAAATAGAAGGGAAATGGGTAAATGAAAAGAAAGTGCAAGAAGATAAACTTCAGACAGCTGTCCCAAAGAAACAGGTACCGTAAACATTGTGCACCAAATGTGTGATGCCTGTGACTTGTGAGAAATGTAATGCACATCAGATTTGGAACTGAGGCCACATGTGTACAGCCCCATGTGCTTGAGCCTTTGGCCAGCTATTCGTTTTTTCGGGCCATAGCAAAATGCCAGCATGAAGCAATTGATTGATGGCTAAATAGTCAATCAACCAAATGTACTGGGACAGTTAGAAATGAATTGCTCTGTACTTGGTTATCATGAATACTGAAAAAATGAATTAGCCCAAAGACGTGGTGGTGCTGTGTTGACTTGTGATTCTGCACCTGCATCTAAACTCATTCTTGTTAACATTTTTCCTCTATCAAAGCTTGGTTATCATGAATACTGAAAAAATGAATTAGCCCAAAGACGTGGTGGTGCTGTTTTGACTTGTGATTCTGCACCTGCATCTAAACTCATTCTTGTTAACATTTTTCCTCTATCAAAAATGTATATGGGTCTACATGAGGCAAGAGGCCCATAACTCCTCCCCTCACTCATGTTTGACGTCAAATAAAAAAAATTATAAAAGCTGGGATGGAAAAAAAAAAAAAAAGCTGGGGTGGGACATTGACATAAAGAATAGTGGTCAGACGCATCTTAAGAAGGCAAAAAATAAACTCCTCAAAAGCCACTGGTAATATAGGGGGGAAAGGAGCTGGTTGGAACCTCTTATAAAATGTCAAAACCCTGATTTGCCATCATGTAGACCTGAGCTTAATGCAGACTTGCAGAAAACCATTCATCTGGGGTAGTGGCAATTTATAACTGAATGGTATTTAAAAGAGCACACGTTTTGCTTCTTTTACCATCTGGGTGACACAAACTCATGTGGCCCTAGAAAGGTGGAAACAGTGTGTGTGGGGGACGGGGTATAGTTTGTAAGCTACAAAAGATGTTTTTCCCTGTCTGCAAGGCTGCATTAAAAGCACTGTACCTAACCATCACCACTACTGCCCTGAAAAGAAAAGAGACGCTTGCATGTTCACCTTTCCAGAGTGAACTCTCTATCACTGAGTCTCATTGCACTGAAGTCGTCTTTCACTCCTGCTTCTGTTCAAGGTGCTCATGCACACAGCTATAATTGAGAAGATGATGGGCAAAGCACACCAAACCACACATGAGGTTTGTAAACACACACGGGAGCACCACGCCATGCTAGATTTCAGTGAGCACAGTGGCAGGCACACGAGACAAATTTGGGGTAGGAAGAAAATATCTCACATGGCTGTTTTGAACCACTGGCACCCAGCAGGGAGTGTTAGCAAAAAGAAGCCACCGGTGGCCCCTGCAGAGTGATCTGAGCACGCTCTCACTCTTGTTAAACTAGGAAGGGCTTCTTTTTACATAAGTGACCTTACCATTCTTGAAAATAAAAGGAAGAAGAAAAGGGAGCTAAAGTGCAAGCTAAAAGAGAAAAGTCCCAAGAAGACAAGCCTACCTTCAAAAAAGAAGAGGTAAATATCATTGAGAAGTAATCCGATCATAAGGCAACAGAGAGCAGTGTTCTAGGACATCGCAGGTCTGATGATCTCACATTTGTAACCTTTAACCCAGTGTTTTTCAGTCCATGACTCATGACCCATTGAATGCACAGATCAACTTGGAGTGTCTCAAAATTAGTTAAATGTGCCAATGGGCATTTTAAAAAATGAAATGGAAGGGAAAGTATCAGAGGTATTTGTACATAGTAGGCTTTCTACTGCATTGTCGTATAAGTTGTGTTTCTTACTGTGGGTCACAGTCAAAAAGCTTTGAAAAACACAGTTCAAATCAGTTTTTCCTGCTTTCTTCTTTTCTGAGTGCTCATTTTCTTCCTCGAACATCCTACTTTCCTTTTGATCATGAAATATTTCCAACTGGCCTTGATTAATATTTAACTTTTCAAAGGAAAAACACCTCCATACATCTCAGTAGAGAATTTGGCAAACTGAAGATGGTATTTGTTTTTCAAAAGAAAAGTTTGGCAAAATGTTCTGCATTGCATTTCTGAGGCACACACAGGAGCAGGTGCCAGGGTGTTTATCTGTAGGTAAGTGGACCAAAGCTGCTGCAGGTAGAAGGTAGTGGGGCTCCGACATGATCAAAATGCCACATCAGAAAGCCTGAACTCGTTTTCACCATTGTGCTTAACGTTAGCCCCAAATAGTCCTAAAAATCATGACTATGTCTAATCAATTCGCAGTCCTTGAACATGGTAAAACTGAATTATCAGAGGTAGGAAGACTTGAATTACTTTGCCTATGGGACTAGTGAAGTGATTGTAGCCATTGAGTGACATTCCAAACAAACACTTGTCACATGTCTCTGCCTCTTATGGCATCTTATCAAGAAAACTCTAAATTTTAAACAGAAAAATCCATATTTAGAAAATAGATGACCAGATTAAATAGGAGATGAGTTATTTTCTTCAATGTTTTTCATAAGATTTATGCAAAAAATAAGAACCCCTAGCTCATGTTACATATTACATTTATGTTAAAATTTATGCTCCTCTCTGTTTCTAGTAGAACTTGCGGAGGTTTGGGAGTGACAACTGAACGTGAGCACTGCCCATCTAAAGGAGAAAAAGTAAATGTTAATACCTGGAAAACTAAATTTAGCTCTAACGAGGTACATTCAGTAATTTAGCTCTAACAAGGTAAATTCTAATGAGGCAGCTAAGGAAAATGTTGAACCTGTGGAGAAACCTTGTCTTCATTTTGTGACAGAAGAAAAGTTACAAATTCATCTACAAAAAAGTGATAGTTGCCTCAGGGCTTAACTGAAACAGCAATGTCCCACGTGAGTTCTAGAAAGCTAGTGTTCATGGTGAATATCGTTAACTGCAGAAGGAAGAGGGTGCGACATCATGACTCAGTGATTAAACGCACAGAGAAGGGAGGCTGTAGAAAATGCTGTTTGGATTCTATGTTTAAAATTTAATTTAATTCCGTAAGATGTGATTTGTTTTTAGTGACCAAAGCATTCTATGCCTGTGTACTGTGTCTGTGAGCTGGAAAGCACCTGTCCTTGGTCACACAAATCATCCTTTTGCCTCTTTGCAGATAATGCCCCAGTTCAGTGCCCGTGGTCTCAGATAACCCCAGAATAATTTCAAGCCTGATTCTTTCCCAGTTGCCCTACAGAACATTCCAGTATCCCAAACTTTTGGCCACAAGGCTAGAAAAATTATTCAACCCAGGCTTTCAAAAAAATAATAAAATTCTGTATTCCTATTTTTACATTGTGTACATAAAGTACTGGTTGAATGACTAGGTTTTCCACTTTACAGCTAGTTGTGCTGTTGCTTTATGTAGGCAGTTTTACATCTTGTTTACATGATTCAGCTATTTTAAACAACCTCTTCCTTTTTTTCCCCCTTTTTGTTTTTTAAAAAAATAACCCCAAACCTTTTCTTTCAAGGATCTATGCAGCATAGGCAGGATAGGTCAACCACAAATAAACACAAACATCACGTGAACCTGCCTAGAGAAAACATTTCCAGAAGTCACTCCAGTGCCTTGGAAAAAAACCACAAAACCTGTCTTTCTCCACTGCAGTCTAACTCATTTGTGGCAATGGGCCGCAGATGGTCACCAGTATTGAAACTTAATTTCGCTTTCTTTCTCTACTCTCCAATTACAAAAAGCCTCTTCCTAGTTCTTTACCAGGAGATATTTTTTTTTTTTTCTGGATTCTAACAGAAAAAAAAAAAAAAGCTCCCAGCCAAGTGGAACTGACAGGTCCGCTGGTGAGGTCTGTGTTGTCCGTGGACCAAACTTTCAGTAGAATGGAGACTAGAAGTCATCCATGTGATAGAAATTAGACCCAGAAAATGATGTGGAGCTTCTGAAACTAATAAAAGCACCTTAAACCTAGTCTGAACAACTGTAACTTGTACCCAACTCTTGTTGCTAGTTAGGAATCAAATAATGCAAAGCAACACACTACAGAGAGTCAGATCTCAGTCCGTTTCAATTCACTCACTCGACCTTTTGAGTGTCTCTGGCATAAGGGCATGTTGCTTGAATTGCCACCCCCCACACGCCCATGTGTTATTCCATTGGATACTCGAGAAATGCAGAGTTTGATCTAAATGATCACATCTGGCCAGAGCCTTTCTCATGAGTCTGCTATTGTTATCTGTGTATGAAGCACATTAACTCTTTCAGGATACTTGGCTACACATTGATCCTTCAGCACAGACTTTCTTCATGGTGACATTGTGACCTAGAAGATCTAATGCTTTTCCCAAGGGGCTCACGATTCCATGGGCTTGGGTTGAATCTGCCATAGAATCCAATCCACTATGCTCCTTAAAATAAAATGTAAAGGCTCTATGGAATTACTTTATTCCTTTCCCAGAAAGAGAAAATAATATGCAGTCAAACTCAAATTATCATTATTACATTGAGAATGTTTCTAAGGAACTTTTCCGGAGAGAATATGAACATACCACCCACCATAACCTTTGCCAATAAAGGCAGAGCTTGAAAAAAATGGGGGTGGGGGGTGTTTTCTTCTGTTAGACATGTATTGTTTTACAAAACTATTTTAAATACTTTTTTGGTCAGTAAATCAAATATTACATTTTGGGAGAATGGAATTATTTCTGACTACTAAATAGGAGAAATGAGTTAAAGGGAATTTCTCTATGCATAGTGCTCCACAAACCATGAGATTTGACTCAGAATTTATTTCACAGGAGTCCCTGAAATGGGACCCTCTCAACTCCCACATTTGTATGCCCAAGTATTTCTTAACCAGAGTATAAACTCCAGTCCATTGTTTCTGGGGCTTTATCCAACAATAGTACGCCAAAATGAGAATATACTCTTCCTCCACCTGCCTATCCAATGAATACTTATTTATTCATGGGCAAGGACAGCCACCAAGGAGCCAGTCAGCTGTACTACAGGCCGTAAGCTTTCTTCTCTTCTCTGGAGCCTCTCACAACCAATCATGAGCCAAGACATGAAGGATCAGGAAAGGGTCACCTGGTCCAGCCCCGTCTTCTTACATGCATGGGGCCAGCAATAAGCTTTCTTCTCTTCTCTGGAGCCTCTCACAACCAATCATGAGCCAAGAGATGAAGGATCAGGAAAGGGTCACCTGGTCCAGCCCCGTCTTCTTACATGCATGGGGCCAGCATCCAGAGGAGTTAGGTGACTTGTTCAAGTAAAATAGCTAGTTTTTTGACAGCACTAGACCTAAAACTCAGGTTTCCTGACTTGCAGACGAAACTGTCAGAGAGTAGCCATACATAGATCCCCTCTTCAGTCCATCCAAGGGAAATCCTAGGTATGTACCCCTTGGAGAAAGATTAAAGTCTTAACTAATTAGGGCAACATAGTAGTGAATAGTCCATCAGTATAATTTAATCAACACCCAAAGGAGACAATCAGGCAAAGGACTGTGGAAGGCTCCTCAGTAAAGAGCAAAAAAATGTGCTCTGCTTTGTAAAAATGAACTTTCGGAGCAANATGAAGGATCAGGAAAGGGTCACCTGGTCCAGCCCCGTCTTCTTACATGCATGGGGCCAGCATCCAGAGAAGTTAGGTGACTTGTTCAAGTAAAATAGCTAGTTTTTTGACAGCACTAGACCTAAAACTCAGGTTTCCTGACTTGCAGACGAAACTGTCAGAGAGTAGCCATACATAGATCCCCTCTTCAGTCCATCCAAGGGAAATCCTAGGTATGTACCCCTTGGAGAAAGATTAAAGTCTTAACTAATTAGGGCAACATAGTAGTGAATAGTCCATCAGTATAATTTAATCAACACCCAAAGGAGACAATCAGGCAAAGGACTGTGGAAGGCTCCTCAGTAAAGAGCAAAAAAATGTGCTCTGCTTTGTAAAAATGAACTTTCGGAGCAAGTGTTGAGGGGGAATCTGGAGAATAGCTGGAAAGAGGTGAGAGATCAGCTAAGAGAAGAACATGCCATGCAGCAGCCCCTAAAGCCCTAAGTTCTGACAGCCTACCCTTCCTCTGTAGGTTTCTTTAGATTGCTAGTGCTTTGTAGCTGTTCGTCTTGAAAAGAACTATTGGGAATCTCACCTGTTTCCCACTCATCTTTAAGAATGCCCAAGTGATATAGGCGAAGTAATTTGAACTCCTTTACCTCCCCAATAAGCTATGTAAATTCAGTTTACTTTGAAATAATATGTCTCATTGACCATGAGGAACTTGCAACACAACACCCACAAAATATTAAAGCTAACACTTGCCCTCCATGTATCACCTTCCTCTGTCTCCCACAACAATCACAAAACCACTCTCAGAGTATTAAATTTTTACCGACAATGGAAGTATTTTTCCTACTCTGTTCTAGCTTTAGTGGTTTAGGTGACCACAAACACGGTGCCACAGGTCTCTGAGTCCAACCCCCTAGAGGTAGGGTTATTACGTGTTCCAGCCTTGGGAACTAGATACTCATTTGATGTAAATGCAAGGGTGATCTTTGCCAGAATTGGCTTGGCAGATCTAGCTAACCTGGTAGGTTTCCTCTCCTTTCCTCCTCATTTGTGTCCCTCCCAAAGATTCATGCTCCATCCAGGAAGAAACCTGCCCAAGCATTCATCAAAGGTCCCTTTGGGAACTGCAAGCTGCTACTCTTACATGGAGTTCCCAGAATTAAATAGTTTCTAAGCAGTAACACTCCCACTGCTCTCAAGAATAAAAACCCCAGTGAGATCGGGGATGATCTTGACTTCCTAAAATTGTGGTCAAAGTCTTTGCCCAGAGGCTAAAGGACCACAGCGCACTCTCTAAGAATTTCCTCTGACCCTGGTTCTACCACATCATTCTACAGATGGTTTGTTTTACTACTGAGTTTTCTAGCTTCCTAATAATTTGAGGTCTTATTTGGTGATACCAACCAAAATCTAATAAAATTTTCGTTATTATGTTTCTTTCTGATATGTACTGTTGGTTAGATCAAAGATGAGAAGATTAAAAAGGACAAAGAGCCCAAAGAAGAAGTTAAGAGCTTTATGGATCGAAAGAAAGGGTTTACAGAAGTGAAGTCACAGAATGGAGAATTCATGACCCACAAACTTAAACATGCTGACAATACTTTCAGGTAAGAAGTAGTGACTAGTTAACAGCAACTGTGTTCACACGTGGAAAAAAAAGATCAGTCTCCCTATCTTGTGCCTCCAGACAGAAACGTACTAAACATGCAACATACTTTTGTTGTGAAGTCACTAGCCATTGTCTTAGAGATACGCAGTCAGCAAGTCCAGCCCTCACATCACTAACAGAGGACCAGCAGTCATTGCTCAGACAGGGCTTAATCTGGTTTTCCCATTACTTTGCAAGGCAGATCACGCTTGGCATCCATGTTTTTGTTCAATGACCTAATACATTCCTGCAAGATGTGTTTATTAGAAAACATTATGACTGGGGTTAATATCACTGGTTCATTCTCTATATAGTCCAGGCAACTTCTTAAGAGACCCTTCTCAGTACCATTTTCAAGAATGCATTTTCTAATGGTTGTAAATAAAAGTTGCATAAAGCTAAGATTGTTCACTGGGCAAAGACTTGGGAAACATTAGGTTAGACTAAGTTAATCAGATCTCTTTACCACAGGACATTGAGTGCTTAATGTTAACTTGCATAGAGAATCTCTAAGTGGGAGAAAGAGATTTTGGAATTAACGCTCCATTTCATACTCTTTAGAAAATCCCCTTGTATAGTTTCAGCTTCCCCTCCTCACTGCCCA